TAAGAGACAGGGAGAAGACGACGACACGGATCCTCATTAAATGAAACAGTGGATCCGTTTTGTTTGCAGTGACTGTTAATGAATGTTATGGGCAAATGCATATCAGAAAATTGATTTCTACAGTTTACTACTTAGTATTTTATTTTTTAAGTAAAGAACCTATCCACCTTATTCCCTCTGTTTCCCCCCAGTTTTGACCTGGCTAGATTTTCAGCTGCCCCTAGAAGCTGTGGTAGTAAACTGTGATGTGCAGTAGTAAGATCAGAAGTTATTTCCATCATGCGTACTGGACATTTTTCCCATTATTATTTATATTCAAATTTTTTTTTTTTTTTTCCCCATAGGATAAAAGTGGCTACCAGGATGACAGCTACCTTGCTTTGTAACATGGTATTTCTGCTGGCATTTGGATTGGCTTCAGCTTTTAGCCACAGCCCTAGGACCCCTGACAGGGTTTCTGAAGCAGATATTCAGAGGCTCCTCCATGGGGTTATGGAGCAACTGGGCATTGCCAGACCCCGGGTGGAATATCCAGCACACCAGGCTATGAATCTAGTTGGTCCGCAGAGCATTGAAGGTAGCTCATTTCTGCTTTGAATGATGAATTTCTGCTTTGAATGATGAATTTCTGCTTTGAATGATGAATTTATTAGTATCCTTTGGTAATAATTATTGCTTTGCATAAAGATGCAGAATATCCTGAGCTTAAAATCATGGACCTCTTCACCATATTGTTACTGATCTTTGTTTTAAAATCATCATCCATCTTTTACCTTTCTTAATATAACGATTTTGGTAGAAGTAGTGGGAGTTTTAATGTGCAGGCTTTGCAGAAAAAATCATGTCTTAGAAGTGTCTGATCTCTAGTACCTCAAAACAACAGGTTTACTAAATTCTTTCCAAATAGTGTGTATAAATACATTTCACATGAAACAAACATGAGCTATAGAGCCCAGATTTCATGGAGTTTTAGAAACATTTGCAGACCAGAAGAGATCAAATGTTTACGGTGTTATGCCAGATAAAGGGAGAAACCATATAGAAGGGGGACTTCTTCCTACATGCTGCCAAGCGCGTTGCAGCTCTACGTGGGACAGGGTCAGTGCTGGAGCGTGCAGGGCTGTGGGCTCGGGGACGCCAGGGCCCTGCCTCTGGGGACAGGAGGGACACAGATGCTCCCCTGCCTGCGTCCATAAGCACCACCCCAGCACTGTGTTGCTGTGATGAATGCTCTGGGCTCAGGTTTGTTGTTTTTGACTACTACTACTGGTTTCACTCCGTGTGAGTAAATTTTCCTTGGAATCAGCCTTTTATAACTATGCAAACCATCTGAAGTATCTGGCTCAAATGTTAGGGTATTAAGATCATGTTGTAATGTATTGCTCTTTGAATTGTAATTAATAAACTAGTTTTTATTTTGGGATTGCAGCAAAAGGTTGAAAGTATGCAACTCCAGATATTACGGTTTATGAGCAAACATCAAAACAGAGCAGAAACTCTCAACCCTTCTCTCAGAATTAAACCACTTTGACTCAGTATATCAAGTCTTCATGGTTCATAAGACTATGCGCTTTATTTTGTCCCCATTCGGATCTACAGACTATCCTAGGCAAAGAGATAGGATTGCCTTAATGGTAGCTAAGGAGAGGATTAAAGCTGAACAGGCATTTCTACCAAATAATGGCAGACCTAAGTTTATATATTTTCAAAAGAAACTTTGATGGACATATGCTATTCTGTAAACTTAAATGACAGAGATTAGGTTTAATGAATAAAATTTGGTCTGTGGTACCCTTTCCTCCTTTATGAGTGTTTGCATGTAGAGAAATTGGGAGAGACTGGTAGAAGTGAGTAATTTTACTCTCCATTGCCCTCTTTTTCCCTAGACTTTTTTTAAAAAAAATCTTAGAAAAGATGAGCAAATACGGATCTCTGACAAATGTTTTATCTCAGCTATTTGCCAGTACTTTCTAATTACAATGTTAGCAAAACCAGATTAAGAATCTCTTCAATATTGAAACTTTTCTGATGCTTGTGAGACTCAAATAATACTAGTTTTCCAGTCATCTATACAGTCTTCCACAAAAAACAGGTTGGGCAAACATTTTTTTTTTCCCTTTTTAAAAAATAAAAGTACCTTCTGTGTATAAAACAGAGTAAAACTGAAAAGGTGTTACATCCAGTTTATCATTTTTAACATTTTCCTCTTGATTAGATGAGGATGACTCTTTTTCCAGGTCTATCATTGATATTTAACAGCCTATTGAGAAACTTCTGATAAAGCAAAAAACCCTTGTCAACTATAGACAAGCAATTCAGACCTTCATGTCAAATATTGCTTTTCATAGTGTTTTGCTGTCAGTTTTTCAGATAATAATCACTTGCTCTTTCTTCAGTTCCTTATGGTGGTATGTGTCTGTCTATAGCTAGATAGCTATCTCTTAAAGTAACTGACGAGAAACTGTTTTTAAAGTGTTGGTTCCAGTTACAAGGTTAACATGGCCTTACATCATTCAATACAATATTTTCTCATACTGCTTTTTTGAAAAGTATATATAATTCATAGTATATTTTTACTATGAGTTTATTTTTAAATATAGGTAATGAATTACAGGACAGATAATTCAACAAAGCTTGCATTTCATTTCTGTACCAGTAACTTTAACTATTACATTGTGAAAGACTTCAGAGTTTAGTATACCAATTACTAATCAGTTAATAATGCTTCATTTTATCCTTTTTGAATAGTTATTTTTGTGTAATTTCGTTAAAAACTTGCACAATGGGTTTGACTTTCTATTAGGTGTCTACTTTGGAAACAACTGCTAAAATGGCATGGTAGGACATTTACTCAAAACACTCCGGTTCTGTAAGAGATTCCCATACATAATGCTTCCACATACAGTATCTGCCTGGAAAAAATGCGTTTTTTACCATTTTCCTAACAGTCTGCCTCCTACTTGGTTATTGCCAGAGGACTGACATTCCTGACCTCCCAGCAGCTCCAGTCAGCCAGTCTTTTCTGAGCAAAAGGGAATAGGAACTGGATTCAGGCAAGGACCTTGTCCTCTGGCAAGGAATGAGGACAGGAGGCATTTGAACGAGGACTCCCATGAAATGTAATGCTCAGTATAGTAAAAATATTGTGACCTTTCTGAACTGGGGGGTTTTTTAGGTTGGGGGGGAGGGCTGGATGTTACACACATTTTGTGAAATTCCATCACATGATGTAGAAAGATAATTTCCTCTGAAAGGAGGAAGCTCCAA